TTTAAGATGCTCTATTTTAGATGGCAGAGAAGTTAATAAAAGAATGTGATTTTTGTGTGCAAAGTAAGTTTGTACGTCCGTTATTTACAGGAAGTCTAGTCAAGTTTACAGTTTTGATTGGGAATATGGATGAATGTAAAAAATAAATAAATATGCCACAAACTCAACTAATTATTAGTATTTATGATAATGTTTTAGGTGGATCACTTGAGCTCTAAATGTAGCACTTCTATGTAATTATCATAATAATGGAGATTGTCACAATAACACCCCCTAATGGAGTGTGTAATGAAAGCCATAGATGGGTAACTGCATTAGTGATGGGAACTGCAAAGAGATCTGTTGGTGTAACTGTTATCTATGTGAAAATAGATAGCGTTTCAGACGGAATTGAGCTGAGCAGGAGTTTATCTTGTTTGTTTTTTCTCAACAGAGAACCATTAAAGAAAATTGCAGAAACATACATTTAGATCCATTTTCTTCATTTATGTGGCCATTGTCTAGACTGCAGTTGTACTTATCTGTACTTATCTGTATTTAGTTTCTGCTTTGCTTTTTTCTGTTTTTGTTTGTTTGTTTTGTTTAACTTTTCATTTCAGTTTTATGATCATGAATGGTAAATTAACTTAAGGGGCAGGGTTGCTGAAATTATTGCATGCATGGGGAAACCTAAAATGTATAATTAAACACATAGAGTCATTTCATTAGGCACACCTGTTCACCTGCTCGCTAACACAGTTATATCATTAGCCAATCATGTGGCAGCAGCTCAGTGTGTTTAGGCAAGTAGGCATATTTAAGATTACACACTCAATTTCAAACCAAGCATATGAATGGGCACAAAATGAGCTGCAGAGAAAATGCCTTGTTGAAGTCAGAGGGTAAGAGGGCAACCAGCTGTTACATCTAAGGTATGCAGAAGAACATCTTTGAATACACAACATGGTAAAAAAAAAAAAAAAAAGGTAAATGGCCTGTATTTGTACAGCGCTTTACACATCCAGTCATCCACCCATTCACACACTGGTGATGGCAAGCTACATTGTAGCCACCCTGGGGCGCACTGACAGAAGCGAAGCTGCTGGACACTGGTGCCACTGGGCCCTCTGACCACCACAAGTAGGTAACAGGTGAAGTGTCTTGCCCAAGGACACAACGACCGACACTGTCCAAGCCAGGGCTCGAACCAGCAACCTTCTGATTACAAGGCGAACTCCCAACTCTTGAGCCACAATTGCCCATATCAAACTTTGAAAAAGAGGAAATGCTACTGTTAAGAAACAGTAAATTTGAGGTCATCCTGATCATTCCTGCAGTTGCACTAATGGGTGTGTGTTTGTTATTACAAATTGGAGTCTGTTGTATATTTATGATTTAAACCGCTCCAGCACCGTTAACATCTAAAGCATCCTCTAATCTCTCAATTCACATGGGTCCATCAAAACTGAACAGAAGAAAATTGGAAGAAGTCTATTCAGACATGAGGTCAGAATTGACATAACTAACGTGAATGGATGGATGGACAGAGATGAAAGCATCAATCCACCGTGTCTTGTACAAGTAGTTGAGATTGGTGGTAGTGGTGTAATAGCTCATTATTTAAACTACAAACTACCTGAATATTGTTGTTGGCCACCACTTGATTACCACACTGTACCCATCTTCTGATGGTTGCCTGTAGCAAGGTAACATGCCATGTCACAAAGCTCAGATCATGTCAAACTTGTTTCTTGAACATTGCGATGAGTTCACTGTACTCAATTTTGTACTCAAATATGGACCATAATCTCTGACTAATATTTACAGAACCTTGTTGAATCTATGCAACAGGGAATTCATTCTGAAGACAGTAGAGGGTGGCTTCTGTTTCTCCTAAATAACCATTATCTTCATCCATCCGTTCATTCATCCATTGTCTTCATGTAGACAAATTGCCGGAGGTCATATCTTCTCTGTAGCATTTTAGAATATTGATATCGCTCCTGTCATCCAGGAAGGGTTAAGTTTGGTCTCATATCTGCTGTTTTTCCCTCCCTTTTCTATCACACTATGTGTTGCAGTTGACATTTAAAGAAAATGGTTAATGCTGAGAGTAATGTTTTGTTAGGTAAAAGGTGTGTATCACCTGAAAAGCATGTGCTGTTGTAAAGTCAACATGTAGACAGGCATCGGCCTGCAATTTACCTTCTATTTGCATAGAGGCGTAGAGTGGCACACGAGACTGATCAGCTTGAACGTCATCCTGTTTTTCAACAAACAAAGCAAAAGCTGGTATCAATGTGGGAATTAAGACAAAAATCCTTGTACATAGGTCATCTCATTTATAACTAGTCCTGCATTGTATAGGCTGTCATGATCATAGGATTAAATGGATTAGACAATCCTGGAAAACAGGACAAACTATGCCTGATTCTCCCAGAGCTAATAGATTTCACTTTTTTCACTTCTTTTTTTGAAAAACATTTTTGTTTTTGTTTGTTTTTTTTCTTTTAAATTAGAGTTTCAGCTTATTCACTTTTTGACAAAATATACCTGGTGATGTCAACAGGATTATCTCTGCTTCAACTGAACACTACATAGCTGCAACACAGGTTGTGTGATAAACTGTATTTAAAGGGTTAATCCTTTACGGCTAAGGGCATTTCCAAACATATAGTCAGTTTGCTCTGATATGAATCAGATGCAGAGTGGGGGAACTTGTTGTATTTCTCATCAGTTTCATTTCCTTTGAAAGAGGGAGGGGGAAATGTAAGCCAAAGTACATGTATAAAAACCGCGGGAGAACCTTCACTCTGCTCTTTAGTTAGATGTGTCTATCGTAGAAATGATAAACACAGAAGGCTCAAATGAAGGTGTGATGCTAGTCCAGGTGAGACCATTGATTCTGTTGAGTTTGATTCCTCCACATCCTAGAATGCAAAGTTAACATCAGGGTTAAACAAGGTTGCCACCACAAACAAACTGTTCCAGAAATTGTGACCAGATGGACCCTCAGCATCAGAGTACAGACCTTGCAGTCTCTGCTGCTTTGATTTTGACTTTTTCTTTTTCTTTTCCCTCCAACTTTATTGAATTGTATCATGGAAGCGTGACACAAAACCATACAAGCAGAAAATGTACGCAAAAGATACTCTTCTAAAATAGTCAGACAACCCCATTAGTTATTTTCTTCCAATGAATAATTTTACGATTTCTAGTAGTTGTTTATTTTCCATGAAGAAATGTTACTGATCACTTCTGAACTGAGGCTCAAATGAAGGGATTCTTGGTCTTTTAAGCTCCTTCACTAATCGATCCATGCCTGTGTGGTTGTCTTTCTGCTGGGAAACAAACACTCACTGCAGCAACTCCCTTAAAGCAACCCAAACACTCACAGTTACTCTTTAAGGATGAGGCCGAGTGTTTCTCAACACGATTCTATTGGCAAATTTAAAATTTCACAATGAGGTTGTTGCTCCCAGCAAAACAGCTGACCTGTGTGAATGTGTCATCGTGACACGTTTTTGTGTCGCTACATTGCTTTTCTTTTTTTTTGTTCTGCCAGCTTTGCTCCACCAAGTATTCCTCTCAGGACATAATACGACGGCTAACGTGATGTAGTCAAAGCGAGCAGACTGGGAGCATCCCCTCCATCCTATATACACTCAAATATGAGAATCATTCCCATGCAAGGCGAGCCCCTCTGCGGCATTGCCGTGTCCATTTGTTCTGCTCTACTTTGCATGTAGGTCATCTGTAGTGGACCAGAGATGCAGCAGAGTGGCATCTGTGAACTTCAGCCTTTTTACTTTGTAATCCTTGTTTTGTATTGGGTTCAGTTTAAATTTTGACATCGTTTGTGAATAACCACAATGATTAAACCAGTTTACTAAAATCACAGTGTAATGAACAGCTCGGGCGTTTTTAGCAGATCTCAGAAGCTGAACGTCACTTTCCCAACAGCAGTTATCAGCTGTTTATTTAACAGTTGTCAGTACTGTGTGCTTTACAGACCTTTAGACTCTGATTGGACTGATGCACACAAGGTGATAAACAGAAAAACACTGCTGATTAATTCTAAATCAGAATCACACCCAGTGTTACTTTGCAAAGTTTAGTTGAGCAGATTTAATCTAGTTGAAAATAACTGGAAAATGTAGTTTTAATTTTTAGGGTTATGATTTATTTTTCTGCTTCATGTTTTTATCTGTATATATTTTTGACACATCTCTATGCATTGGATAAATATAGAAAAATAAATATAGAAATGTACACAGCACTGGGGGAAGTCTGATGAGTCAGCATCAATGCAGTAGGGCAGCATGTCTGCAAAGATGTGATATTCTGTCGCTCACATCTGCAAATGAAATCTGTATCCAATTCCCTAAAAGCCTCAATCCCCACTGAACTGGAAGTGACGACATCTTAAAGTTAGGTCCTCACGACACCCTGTGCAAAGGACCCTTGAAACTTTACCACACACTGCAGGAAACAGTCTGCCTCTATAATGACACCCAGTGGTTAGTTTTAGCCTTAAGCTTCAGCTTGTAATTTGATGTGGCTGTTTGGACTGGCCTTCCTCAGCCTCCACTCTCAGACTAACCGTGTCAGTAAAAAATAGTGAGTGCCACTGCATCTGACCAAACGAGGCACCTTTTATGAAAGTGCACATTTATTTCTGGGATTCATCCCAGATGGAAGTAAGACAGGTCTGTCATACACACTAAAAAAGAATTTTTTCAGTATTTAAAGTCTGATTCAGAACCCCAATTTATCTTGTCTGCACAAAGCTTGGCCTGTGTGTTCACTTTAAATGATCGACCCAATGATGGAGTGGCCTATTTTACCCCGACGATGAGAATCAATGAGTTTATTCAGAGCAGGCATAATCTGAAACGAATAACTGCCCTCTGCAACAGGCGCTTTTCATTTTAGAAATATTAGTTAACCACTGATACTTTCTGCACATAAAAATAGCAGAAATAAATGTTGTAGAGTGTGCATGCTGTGCACCTATTTAACAAAATCACTTTTGATGCTCCCACCTGAGATAGAAGAAAGGAGGGGGAAATCATCTCAAAGGTAAGTTTTTACAGTTTTTTTTAGCATGTGTGTTTTGTTGTAGAAGCGCGCTTTAGTTATTTTACAGCTTGTATCATGTTATTTTGTGCACATGCACATCCTAAAGACATCCCTTTATTTATAGTCTTAACTAAATATGGAAATTATGTGGAATTTATCTAACAGATTTCTCCCCAGAAGGACAATGCGTGAGTTTGTGTTCATTTATTTTCAGTTGAGCCATGGCAGCTGATCTGGATGTGGTGAACCTGTGTATTATTGCTGGAGGAACACTGGCTATTCCCATCCTGGCCTTTCTGGCTTCCTTTCTTCTCTGGCCCTCTGCATTAATTAAAGTGTATTACTGGTAATGTAGATGACTTTCTTGTGCTGTGCTTCAATTTATATTTTATACTATTCTATGATATATTTTTATGTGTCAGTCAGAATGTTTGGTTTGGAATGCTAACTTAATCCAGGATGAAGTTTAATCACATTATTGATGTTTCTATCTGATTGAATCTATTATTTACACTCAACAGCCACTTTGTTAGGTACACCTTGCTACTACTGGGCTGGACCCCCTTTTTGCCTTTAGAACTGCCTTGATTCTTTGTGGCATAGATTTAACATGATGCTGAAAACATCCTTGAAAGATTTTGGTCCATATTGACATGATGGCATCACATAGTTACAGCAGATTTGCTGGCTTCCATTACCCCACTCACTGGGGCTCTATTGGACTGGGATGTGGGGACTGAGTCATTTGAGTATAGTGAACTCATTGTAATTGGAGCCTGATTCTAGCTTAGTGACATGGTGCATTATATTGAAGCTATAAGAAGATGAGTACACTGTGGCCATAAAGGGATAGTCATGGCAACAATACTCAAATAGGTAGCAATATTTTGAACAATGCTCAACTGGTACAAAGTGTGCCAAGAAAATATTCCCCACACCACTGCACAACTAGCAGCCTGAACTATTAGTACAAGGCAGGATGGATCCATGCTTTCATCTTGTTTATGCCAAATTCTGACCATACACTCTGAATGTCACATCAGAAATGGAGACTCATCAAAGTGGGCAATTTTCTATTGTCCAGTTTTGGTGAGCTTGTGTGATTTTTCTGTCCTTAGCTGACAGAAATGGCACTCAATGGGATCTTCTGCTGTTGTAGCCCATTTGCTTCAAGGTTTGGCCTGCTGAATGTTCAAAGATACTCTGGTTGAAACAAGTGGTTATTTTAGGGTTTTTGTTTGTTTTTTCCCTTCCTATTAGTTCAAAGCTGTCTGGCCATTCTCCTCTGACATCAACAGGAAATTTCCACCCAGACAAATGCTGCTCATTGGATAGTTTCTCTTTCTGACCATTCTCTCAAAGTCACTTAATCACCGTTCTGCTCCATTCTGATGTACGGTTTGAGCTTTCACATCTCACCCTGTGATGGCTGATTAGATATTTGTGTTAATAAGCAGTTATACAAGTGTGCCTAACAAAGTGGTGTATGTACATATTGCATAGTGTACCTGGATTTTCTTTGCCCTTTCTTGTCATGCGCTTTGTGGTTTCTAATTTGGAAAGGTGCTCTAAAGATTATATTCATTTATCAATGACATTGTTGAAAACTGTGGCATTGGTTACCTAGCATACTTTGTTTAATGATATTTCTTGTGTCTTAGTTGCTGTGACTATCCAAGAAAAAGAATCTGCCTCATCATTAATCCTTTAAAGCATTTCAGCGAAGAAAGCCCAGATTTGAATTTGCATGTAAGTCTTTGTAGCTCAGATATGGTACCTGCTTGTTTTCAGGTACTGGAGGAGGACTCTGGGCCTGCAGGTGGGCTATGCGGATTGTGGTGGTTATCGCTTTTGTTACTCCTACAGAGGAAAGCCTGGAATGAGACCTTCGATCTTAATGCTGCATGGCTTCTCTGCTCACAAAGACACATGGCTCACTGTTGTCAAGGTTTGGCTGACACTAGACATCACATTTTACTTCCCAATAGCTCATGGGGCTAACACTCAGCTTAAAACTAGCTAACACTCAAACTTTTTGTCAAAGAAAGGCTGAATGTATGCTTTTAGTCAGACATCTATCCAGTGGAGTTATGCTCCATCAGTCACACGATCCAAGAGAAAGACTGGAATTTATTTCAATTTAAACATTAATTAGAAATGATTTCATAAATACATATTGTGCTGTTTATGAAATTCTTCTTAAAACACCCTTTCTTGGCTTGAATGCATTTATCATATTAATGACATTAAGCGTTCTTTTTTGTCTTCTGCTGCTCCAGTATCTGCCAAAACATCTGCACATTATGTGTGTGGACATGCCTGGCCATGAGGGGACAACACGCACCAACATAGATGATTATTCCATTCAGGGGCAGGTCAAAAGAATCCATCAGGTACACCCAATAGATAGTTTTTAAAATATGTTGGTGTGTTTGTCAGGTGCCTAAATCATTCCAGTAAAACTCTGTTTTTGTCTTTTGTTCTTCTCAGTTTGTGGAAACCATCCGCTTAAACAGGAAACAGTTCCATCTGGTTGGAACCGGCATGGGGGGAAATGTAGCCGGGGTTTACGCAGCCTGCTATCCCTCAGAAATCTGTAGCATGACTCTCATCTGTCCAGATGGTCAGTCAGTGTGTTTGTGTGTCTGTGTATGCGTGAGCCCAATCGTACTATGCTGTGATGAAATCTGTCTGCTGTCAAGGTCACTTTGTGGGGTTCAGTTCTAATATGGTGAGAAAAAGGGAGTACGTTTTAGAGGGAAGACTTGTTTCGGCAATCAGTGCTTAGAGTTGTGGTAATTCTTTAGGAAATGAAAGTCAGTACACTGTCCTCTGAAGTCATGGAAACAGACTTTTGTGTGTTCCTGTGTAAACCATCATCAATGAGCCCTTTGTGCTTTGTCCAAAGAGAGGCTGGATGCAGGAAAGAGTGAATATTTTAACTTTAAACAGGCACTCACATTTCTTAATAGATAGATAGAAAGAAATGAAGGAACTTACCAAAAAAACAGAAAAAGAAGTTAGATGTAGGAAGAGCTCCAACTAAGGACTTCACCTCTGTAATCAAATGGAAATAGAGTAGGGTCCTAAGATGTATAAGATGTAGAACCAGAAAATCCAAAGTTTTTAGAATCAGTGGGTTAACAAAATACAGTTAGTTTTATTCATTTTCTTGTTCAAAATAGAGGTAGTGTAATACCATACTATATTTTAAAAGTTTGACAAAATGGCTAATAAAATTTACATAATTCAACATCATAAAGACACATCAAGACATGCCAGATATATGTGGATTTAACTTAATGCTGTTTTCACAATTACTCAACACAAGTGAGTATGAACTTTAATGTAAGTTTATTTATTAAACACATTTCACTGTTAGCCGAATATGAACAATGCAATGTATGAAAAACCAAGATATTGACAACGTCAGTGTATTTACATGAGGGAGACTATTTAAAATGTACAAAGTGTTTCTTTTATGGTGGTTTTCCGTTTATCCTAAGGAGGAACACGTGTGTGTGTGTGTGTGTGTGTGTGTGTGTGTGTGTGTGTGTGTGTGTGTGTGTGTGTGGGGGGGGGGGGGGGGGGGGGGGGGATATGGGTCAGGCTAACCAGTAGTGCCACTGAGAAATGCTGTTCAACTGGTTGGCCAAGTGAGCACTCATTCTGCAGCATATGGGCTCTGAAAGTGTGAAGGTTGCTTAGTTTGTTACTTTTTTTTTCATGACAAAAAAATATGTTCAGCTAGACATAATATTTAATTACTAATATAAACCCTACATTCCACCTAAGACTGGATCTGTAATTGGACCCATTATGCAATTAATTTTCCCAGGGTGCAACATTAAATGATTGGGACTGGGTTTATTTCATGCCAAGACACGATAAAGACACTGTTTAGCAAAATATAAATCACATTATTGAACAGAGTAAAGGATAAGGTGCAGGAAAGCCACAATTTATTGTCCCCATATGAGGACGGGGGCTCTCTGGAGATTAAATAGTGCCTTTTTAATAGCAAACTGATTAATACAGCATGAAATTAACTTTGTGTCCAAAATCATCATTTTATTCTGCAGGAATAAGACATCCATGTGAGACCAAGTTTGACAATCATGTGCAGGACCTGGAACACAGCAATTACACCCTGAACATCCCGCTGATCCCCACTACACCCGAGGAGATGGAGGATATGTTCAAACTGTGCTCCCATGTTCGCTTTAAAATTCCTCAGCAGGTCAGGCCTTCATTTCAAGTATACTTTTTTTTTTGTTTTGTTTTATGCGCTAATAATTTGCAATCATGATGTAGACTATAAAAATAACAAATACAGAGTAGTAATCGTCCTACTGAATTGCTTTGTTATTCGAAGCTTGGCTTATTTTGGGAACTTTTTGTTAAAGCTACTTTTTCGCTGATTAGATCCTTCAAGGCCTGGTAGATGTCCGAGAGCCTCACAACACATTTTACCAAGAAGGTCAGTTCACTTTGCATTGAAATATTTCAGTATTTTCCAGTTTAGTGGAAAAATTCCAGTAAATTCTCTTTTTCTTTAGTTTTTATGGAGATTGTAGGTGAGAAATCAAGATACGCCTTACAGGACCACTTGCATCTAATAACCACACCTTTACAAGTGATATGGGGCAAACAAGACCAGGTAAACTAACACAATGACTCCAAGTACATAAATGATTACACAGCAGGTTTTGCGTCTAAACTAATCTGAAGATTCATATTCCAGGTGCACATGTGCTGTACATGGTGGCTCAGGCTTTCTATTAAAGAGAAACTTTATAGAGCAGGGGTGTCAAACATAAAGCTCGGGTACCAGATTTGGGCTGAGAAAGACTTCAGTCTGGCCCACTGGACGGCTTTGGGAAATATGAAGGTCGTAAATTGAATTGCATTTTTATACGTTTTACAGCTTTGGCTACTGATAAAGACTTCCCCCATGGCCATTTATACTTCACCAAAGTAAATAAGTAACAAATTTTAAAAAATGAAATAACAGAGAAGTTCCTTTTTCCCACTATTTTTCCTCTTCGATTAAATTCATAGATAAACTTCTTTACACTGACAAAAAGAAGAGTTTCACTGGTCCACACCACTTAAGATCAAAGTGAGCAGTGCAAAGTTAGTTTGGCATCCCTGTCATAGACATACTGGTAATCATCTGCATTTGCTCAGGTGGTGGATGTCTCTGGAGCGGCAGTGATTGCAGAGACCTTGTCTGAATGCAGAGTGGATCTGCTGGAGAACTGCGGACACTCTGTGGTGATGGAGAGGCCTTCTCGGACAGCCAGACTCATTCTGGAGTTCATCATCTTGCAGCAAAATGCCAGAAGTGGCACAAAGAAAGCCACCTGACCTAAAGACTTTTCATCGTTTCATGTTATTCTAATGCTCCAAGTGCTCCTGCTTTTGTATAGAAGATGCAGACACCTCACAAAAATGTACAATTAAGATAGTAAGAAATTATTGAAAGCTTCCTGCATTTCTTCAGTGTGAATGAATCACATTTCTGTTATAACACAAGCTGCATGACGATAATAAAACGACCATGCGTTTATGTGTGAGTGTGATTCACTGAGAGGCGCCTGCAGCTGCACCAGGACCTCCCTCCTTCTCTTCCTTGATCCTCCTTGTGTGCGCAGTCTTGGTTTAGCCCGGAGCCGAGCACAGTTACCCAGTGCGACCAGCGGTAAACATCAGTGACTCTCAAGCTGCACCGTTAGACACCAACCACAGGCTTCTGTCGCTGAATAAAAACAAACACACAAGTACGCACGAAAGAGAGCAGGTAAGGCATGGTTTTAGCTCATGTGTCACTCACTGCTCGGTCCTACTAAGACCCTGGCGTTAACCTTAGTAGTAGGAGCAGCTAATGGGATGCTAGCTGCGTTAGCTTGCTAACCAGAAGCTAGCAATTAGCTAGATTAGCGGGTTGTATGTTAACTTGTATGCTTTCATTGTGTTTCACGCCACACAGCTCTGTGTATCCGAGCTGGGTTTGTGATGTAGTAACGGTACTAAACTTAAAAATGCACTTCGGGGCTTGCTGTAGCAGCTTGTTAGCCAGTTGGCAGCAAATACTGCAAAGGCACTGTCGACTGGATATTTTAAAGAAACATTGGTTAGCTGGCTTCACTAGCATGCAGTGAACCAATACACCTTAGTTAAATGTTGTAAGTAAAACAGGTCTGTGTGGGCAGTTTTATATAGGGTGCTTATCTGCGCCAGGTTTAAGTTTCAAGTTGAGTGCTTTTGTGGTTTCTGCTATTTAGTCCCGACTTTCATGCTTTGAAAGTGAAATGTTAAGTTTATATTTAAACAGGGAAGCAGCAATTGATAGAACCAAGCCTTGTATTTGCTGCTCTGCAACCAGCCACATTATAGTAGCATAACAAATGAGATGGGGAGTACTAAGGGTTGCTTAAAGGAAATTAAGAATGAGGACTGTACCGCGTACGTTATTTGCCTATAGATGAAAGCTCAGATCATAAAACCAAATTCTGCGAGTATAATTTACATCAGTTACTCTCTTACTTAGAATATTGGCTTACTTATACTTGCTGTATTACTTTAAGTATACAGAAATATGCAGATACTCTAAGTGTCTCCTTGTGGTACACAAGTTGGGAAAGTGGATAGTAGTGCTTTATTATTTAAATTGGCAATTTCCTTTAAATTAACACGCACACATACATACATACATATACACACACACATACATATATGTGTGTTTGTGTGTGTTTATAAGCACTTCCTTTTTTGGCTCCTCCCTTGGAGGTTGCCACAGCAGGTCATCTTCCTCCATATCACCCTGCTGCACCCTAACATCCTCCTCTGTCGCAGCAGTGCAAATTGTTTTACTACACTCAGTGAATATCAATGAAATACTGTATAGTGACATCTGGTAACATTGTTATTGTCATTTGTATTTCTTTAATCCCCAGTTGATCTTGTTACTTTAATGATGGTTTAAGGACATTACTGTTTTGATAGCGTATTCTTATATTCCCTTTTCTGTTATTCTTGGCCCTGATTGGGTACCGCTGGAGAACTATGTAAAAAAGAATAATGTCAGAATTTCCAAAAGAACAGCCAGATTAGTAAGGTTTATGACAACTATCACGAGTAACTGTGGAGGCTAAAACAAAAGCCTGTCATCTCGTGTTTATGCAGAGTGGCTTTTGAGATTATTTTCTTTAAATTAAATTAAATCCATACTTAGAAATTCAGACTTGTGCTGAGCACACAAAGCACTTCAATGCCATGTTGGCTTTGGGATTAAGGTTCAGAGCTTCAGCTCCACCTGTTCCTGAATGCAAATTTAATAAAATCTTATCACAAGAGTCCCAGCATCTACTAACATCCCAGGCTGCTGACTTCACAGTAAGAGGGTAAAGTCACATTGAAAATAACACCACTCAAATCTTTTGCACAGTCTGTTTATTTACGCTTACCCTTACTCAAATAAATCAAGGCATGCACACAGATGCTTAAGTCTGTACTGAAAAACCTCATTTAACCTAGAACAAGACTGTGTCCGTCTTGTTCTGCAGATGAAGTCTTGTTACAGCTGATGTTAATATCACTGTTTTCTCACAGGTGAAATCAAAGTGAGCTGATCCTCATTCGTTCCCTCTCTATTTTGGTTCTGGCCAAGCTGCTATTCTTCTACAAATGGATAATGGAGACTGGGGCCATAGGGTAAGAGACACCTAAGAAACCTGACATGTGTCTGACAATGGATCACATAATCACATAAACTTGCTCTGTTGCCACTTTAGCTGAAACTAGTTTAGTCTAATACAAGGTAGCAAATCTAGATTCAGTGACTTGTATTGTGTCCACTCATGTTTTACCATATTTTTTTCATTGTAATTTTTTTTTTTATATAGTTCCAATAGCATGAGCTTGACAGGTTTTTCTTTTCTTTTAGATGACTACTCCTGTTACCTTGAACGTGGGAGGCCACCTATACACCACCAGTTTATCCACGCTGCAGCGCTATCCGGACTCCATGCTGGGAGCCATGTTCCGAGGAGATTTCCCTACAACCCGCGATTCCCAAGGGAATTACTTCATCGACCGGGATGGAACACTTTTCCGGTACATCCTGAACTTCCTGCGGACATCTGAGCTTACCCTTCCTTTGGACTTCACAGAGACGGACCTCCTGAGGAAAGAGGCGGACTTCTACCAGATCGAACCTTTGATCCAGTGCCTCAACGATCCAAAGCCGCTGTACCCTCCTGACATCTTTGAGCAGGTCGTGGAGCTTTCCAGCACTCGGAAACTGTCAAAGTACTCAAACCCTGTTGCTGTTATCATCACGCAGCTAACCATAACTACTAAGGTTCATGCCCTGCTAGAAGGTATTTCTAACAACTTCACCAAGTGGAACAAACACATGATGGACACCAGAGACTGCCAAGTGTCATTCACCTTTGGACCATGTGACTATCACCAAGAGGTGTCCCTAAGGGTTCACCTGATGGACTACATAATGAAACAGGGCTTCACCATTCGGAACACACGCGTGCATCACATGAGTGAGCGTGCCAATGAGAACACGGTGGAGCATCACTGGACTTTCTGCAGACCCGCTCATAAAGTTGAAGACTGAGTTTACGTAGCACAATTGTTATAAGTGACACTACTGCTGGATTTGTCTTTTATATTACTCAAATCATGATTTTAAAAAAGGAAAATCCAGAAAGCAAAAATCAAAGAAGATGTGAATTTGGATTTATTCACCTGTTCGGGGCTACAACTTTTCCTGTGCTATCCCTACACATGTTTATTAGAGTGCAAGGCCTACCATAGAAACATGGGATTTTATACATATAGGGACATTGAATCGTCCCTATACTAAAATAGTGTGGGTAAATTATTATTATAGGAATAACGGTGGCTTTAAAAAGAAAAAAGTCTTTAGAAATGAGGTCATAAAGAAGGTATGATTTGAGTCTGCCTATGCCGAGTACCTTAATAGTTAAAAAAAAATAAAATGCATTCATACGAAGTTAAGCCACAATTTGTAGAAAAAAATAGAGCTGTAGAAGGTAATTTAAAATTATTATTGACTCCAGACACATCACTAAATGTTTTTTGTAAGATGTCAGGAGTATACTTTTTATAATACTAATAATATGAATAATAACTTATTTAGCTCAGTAGCTTCTTGGTCAGTTTCTAGTAGATTTTGAAATTAGTCTCTTAGGTCTAGCCCCTTGTATGGTACTATTTCTGAAGCCCCCAGTAGTTGTTGCATGTGTCTGACTGTTTTGTGTATGTATATTGTACATATGTCCTGTGCGCGGTTTAAAATACACCATACTGTTACTGTTCATATCACCAGTAATGTTTCCAGCCATCGCAGCCAAAATAAACCCATCTGTGTATTTCATTTCATTAAATTTGCATAGTTTCTCATTTTAACTCTGATGTTTAGATCTGATGTAATTTGTCAGTTCTAACATCAAGGCTCCGTGCAGTCGTGTACAAAGTCACTATAGCTGTTATTTGGAGGAAATACAGTAGAACATCTATGAAACACAATGATTGATCTGAATAATAAAGCGTGTATATGTTTAACATTAGGTGCAATAGTTTTGCAAAAATATTTTTTAAAACTGATTTTCTTCACAAAACAAGCCATCTTGATTTAATTGTATATTCTTTTTATGTACATTGTAAAACCAAATACTCAAAGTACTTAAATTAAGTAATGTAACTCTTTCACAAGAACCTGCTACTTAGTAAAATTAAATTATATTATTTTAATTTATTTTAATTTAATTGGCAGACCTCTTTGGAAGGGTTTGATTTCTGGGGTTGATTTGACCCCAAACATAAATGACATTAGTCTTTAGTGTGATATAACAGCTGAATTGGTTTAGATTAAGACAATGGAGTAAAAGTAAAATGTCTGTCTTTCATCAGTTGCTCTTCCTGCACTAACATTATGCAAGGTTTAACAAATTAATTTTTATTTTTGGTTATATGTATTTTTTTTTTTAAATGCACTCAGTGATCCACCTTCAAAGGGGTTCAAACAGAGCATGCCCAACACATTCTACGCCAGACTTGACAGCAGTCTTATTGGACCGATGATTTTTTTCCCAAATACTATACAGGTAAGTTTTGGCGGAAATTTTTAAAATTCACAAATGAAAGAGCTTTATCATGAACATCAAACTGAGATTTTGAATTCTAGCATTAGCCCACGTTGTCTTAAGTTTTTGCTTTCCACTTTCTTTTCTCCTGCCTTAGAACTCAATCTTCAAGATCCACTATCCCACCTCTGCACATATCCAAACCATCCCTCTCTATTTGTCACTTGGGTTGATTTGCTAAGTATTTTTTAATTTAATTATTAAACATTTTAGTTTTATTTTAGTTAAATGTAATCAAAATATTGGAGGTGTGATAAGCTTCAACTTTTAAGTTCTAACTTCTTTTGGTTTGCAGTGTACAATTTCCTTAAAAACATGAAAAACGAGGTCTTTCTCACCAGTCTGATGTACATTTTCAGGTCCAAAATATAAGGAGATATAATCATAAAATTAAGTTTTGTGTTTATTTTATTTTTTGCCTACACCAGGTGGCATTTTGTTGTTGCTGTTGTTGTTTTTACTTCTCTCCACTGGCTCCCTGTGGTTTTGACCAAAAACTAGATTACTATGAATATACAATGAGAACTTCATTAACCTGGAGGGAAGTTCTTGTGCCTTTTGCATCCTCAATGCAATAGGGATAGAAACAGGAAGAGAAACAGAAACAATGTGTGCAGACTTGCAGTAAAAAAACAAGATACAGATGAGAACTATCAGTATGTGCATTAGTGCAAACAGGCAGAAAAGGACAGAGTGTTAATGAGTGATAAGAGAATAAATAACAAGTGATACTTTCATAGTAGTAATAATAATCATCATCCCATCTGGTAAAGCACAGATGGGATGATGTAAGTGTATGGTATGATAGAGTGTCAATGAACATTTGTAGAAAAGAACAGTTTTTTAAATAATATTTTTAATTTATCATTGCGTGAATTGTAAAAATGTGTAGCCTATACACAGATTTTTTTAAAAAGAGGTTTTAATATTTTATTAACTAAATGTGTGTCATAGCCTGCACCTCTTAAATTATATTTTGCCTACACCGTCCTCAGTCCCCTTAGCTATAGATTTCAAATCCAAAAAAGTGAAAGACGTGAATGAAAATAGAGACTGTAGCAGTGCCTGGATAGTGATGGATATGTTTTGGGGGCTTTTTGCCATTAACAGACAGCTGAATATTTGAATTTAGGCATTAATTCTCAATGTTTGTGAGACCAAAAGCTTTAGTACAAAAAGGCGATGTAATTTTGTACAGGTGTAACTGCATCTTTTCTTTGTTACAAATACAAGACTGATTCATTTCCTGCCTTGTATTTATTCAGATTCAACATCAAACTTAAAAAAATAGTCCATTTTCATTCTCAGGTATGAATCGGAGGTCGTTTTCAAAAGTTTCAGAGAATGCGTAAAAAGCAATGGAAACAATAATATATAGTTAGATATTACACCCATTGTGTATTTTTCTGTCATGTTATGCATAAAGGAGCAGAATATCACCACTTGACATACACCGATGCCACCCGGATGTTACGACTCTTCTTGGGTGCGTTGGTTTTCCTTCAAATCCTCGAGCTGCTCTTAGTTAGTCTGTAGATCCTTGAGTGTTCCGCCCGTTTTGTTTAAGCCAGTGTACAAAATGAACGCACCCAACTTAGCACGTCCGTTGCTCTCATAACATTTGCTAAGGACGTGCTGCTCGTATTTACCCACGCTGTTTCTTAACAGTTCACCTTCAGAGTTTCTCTGGGGCGCCGTGGAAGTGTTTGTTAGGACACAGTTTGTGTGTCGGGATGTTTCACAGGAGTAAAACCATTAAAGACTTACTGAACATTGTCCCGGGGAAACGTCGCCTCGGTGCGTACAGGTTCCTTCCAATCTTTTTCTGTATCGGGGGAATCATGGAGTGGATCATGATCAACGTGAGGATAGGACAAGAGACTTTCTGTAAGTGTAAGCCATGGGTTCACTCAGCTAGTCTAACCGACACGTTGAGTATCTATTTAATAGATAAGTTAGCTAGTTTTAATAAGTTAGGCTAGCTGTGTTAGCTAGCAAATGTTAAAGGACAAATAAAAGGCGCCAGTGTGCTCTTCTTTTGGTTATATGCTAGCTACCGGTTTGGGAAATTACTCCAATGCTTGTGGTCAGTGCTTTCATACACGTGTTTACCTCGAGTTTACAGTGATCTTGACACACTTGAGAGTGCCTACAGTCAGTAGTTACTAGATAGTTGTAGGTACCTACGGTGTGTACCAACACTTTTGTCGACCCTTCCAAACGGGTCTAAAAGCAGTCTAATCAGAGAAGAGTTCCCATGTGATCCCATCAGAATCAGATGATTTTTTATCAATGTTATTATTTGTTAACAGTATGAAAACTGTGAGTTACAGGTCCTCCCAATGGGAGGCATTTTTGAGCTTTCATGAATTCAGAAGGAGGAGAAGAGGCCAACATTACATTTTCAGAGCTGAAAAACAAACACACGTTTTATTATGGAATAATTATCCCAAATTACTGGAGATAACTATGTCGTAGAACAAATGGCACCAATTTAATGCGTGTGACACAGAATACGCTAAAGATCAAGTGTTTTTAAGCAAACTTTAAAAGGGTTTGCTCACCCTGTTGGGTAGATGGCTATTCAAACCAAATTAGGCCATTTGCTTCTACTGGGATTCCTACTGGGCCAAATCCATCCAGGTTGCCAGTCTTTTGCAGGGCTTACACACACAGAGACAGAGCGGCTCACATTAACACCACCACCAGTTAACCTAATGTGAATGTCTTTGGACTGTGGGAGGAGGTCAGAGTTGCCAGAGGAAACACATAGGCACCACACTGCAGACTCCACACTGAAAGGCCCCAGTTGGCCGGTTGATTGGAACCTTTATGTTTACAGTCATATAATCAAGAAATCCTCATGTTTTGGAGGCTTGAGCTGACCTCCTAAAGAAATTAAGCAATTGTGAAAATATTCATTTTCTTTTAAGGGCAATGTGGTTACCTCTGTTGTCGCAGCAAGGAGGTACTGTGCTTGAATCTAACCTGGGGCCTTGTTCTGTGCAGTTTCTGTGTCTGCATTGTTTTCCCTGTGTGTACCTCAGTTTCCTCCCGCAGTCCAAAGACATGTGTGTTAGGTTAAATGGTGATTCTACATTAGCTGTAGGTGTTAACAATTGTCTGTCTGTATGTGTTAGATCTGCAACAGATTGGCGACCTGTCCAGGGTGTACTCCGCCTCGTGCCTTATGACAACTGGGACAGGCTCCAGTAATTATTGTAACCATAAGATATTAATGTAGAAACAGTGTTGTAATGTTATATCTGGGAGCTTTTTTAAACCACTATCTGCTATAAAGCAGTAGTATATAAACAACTTATTTTAAAAAAAATAAATAACTTTGTTTGTGAAATATTAATCTTTAAATAACTAGTAACCATCCATTAAATGCATGTAATACTCTGTGTGTCCCTTTGAAATGTGGTAATGTTGTAGGTGGTCCAGTTAAGTACTTGAGTACAGTGGTTAACTAACAAATGCACTTGAAAGAACTATGGTGTCAGAATCACTGGAAAAACAAGTTTCCACCTAATTATACGAACACCCACTCAAGTTGGAAAAACAGGTTAAAGACTAAAAAAATGCTGATGCACATGTTGCTGTGTTATTGATATATACACAAAACATGGAAGTTGTCAGTAAATGTCCGGGTGAATGCAAAAATGTTATAATCTAATGGTGCAAACTGGTTTTTTTTCTTTTCCTGCTAACATTTAATTTATAATATGTCCAGGTAGAGTTACGTAGGTTAGTTAGTTGTGGGGGGAACTATTTTCTAGCTGAAGAAAATGGACCATCCAGTGAATGCATGAAAGCAGGGAACATTTGTCACAATACTAGAGATAGAGTGAGCGGGGTCACTCAAAGACTGAAAAGAAAAATGACTCCAGTGTGTTTTTACTCTCACTAAACCCATTTCTCATTATTCCAGATGTGCTGTCAGAACTAAAAAGGGCTCAAATCCTCTTGTGTTTAAAAAAAAAAAAAAAAAAAAAAAAATCCACCCTGCACATATTATCCTGTGATATTGAGAGGCCATTTGGGGACAAAAGAAGTGTTTTTCTCTACTGAGGAGAAAAAAACTATTCCCTGTGCTGTTTGTCAGCTTGGCAGTCATTTTGTTATAGATATTAGATATTGCCCAGATTGCTTAGAAATTCTGCTGGATAATAAAAACAGACATTTTCACTTGCAGTAGCAGAGGGAAAAAGGAAACACCAACTTTTTCCACCTGCCTCTGCAAGTGAAAATGTCTGTTTTTATTATCCAGCAGTGAAAAAAAAGGTGTTTTTTCTTTATTTTTTGAGGGGGGGATTTAAAAAAAAATCTGGAACCCTGGAACTGCCCCACCTGAGTGGTATGCACTCATTACTAATGTTATGCGGATACACGTGTCTTTCTTTCCTTCTTCAGCAAGCCAAAATATCTGCTGTGCATGCTCACTTTGACACTGACAGTTTAGTAGCATAAACCAGTGTGTTTCTTACCGTGACACATAAACTGATAGTTGGCACATTTTCTGTTAGACATCAGTGTCAAGTATCCAGAATGCTTTCTCTGTGCAGTTTTTACTGGAGACACATTTCAGTCTTTTGAATCTGTTTTCTTTCCAGATGATGTCTACAGAAGAAAACAGTCAGAACGAGAGTACCAGCAGAAGATAGCAGATGGATTGATAGTTCTCAATCAGTCTCCAGCCAAGTGAAAGATGATGATTGGATTAAATAAGGACTTGACACGTCATCTAAAGACAGTGTGGGACACCCATGCAATTATGAATGCTGCTAAAGAAACGAGTGAAAAGCTGATGGTGCAATGACTTCCAACATGCAGGTTTTATTATTTGTATAGTGTTCATTTGCAGCACTGCAGTATAAAGCAACAGGGTAGAAGAATCCGTTTCAGAAAGATGAAAATAATAACGACAAAGGCATTATTTGTTTGTGGAAACCATATTGAGATCTCATCGTTGTAATGCCTCATATTTTAAAAAAAAAACAAACATTGCATAGCACCAGCTAGAGAAACCATCTTCGCCATGTACCAACTAAAAAAATGACTAAAGGTGTTTTTATTTTGGATATTGCTTTTAACCCCTTAGCAGTCCAATTAGTCCCCTAAACCATCCAATGTACCGTGGGCGGTACGTCCGACTGCTAACAGGTTAAACAAAAAACACACTGTTTCATTTGTTGATCAAATCTTTTTGTTATAAAAGCTTTCTAATTGTGTAAGTTTTCAACTGTGCGATATATGTATCACTATAAAAATGTCGCTTAAGAACTTTATTTTTCATTATTTATATTTTTTTCTGTGCACTAACTGTGCATCTTAATCCCACTCTCCTTCACTTTACCAAGAACTCACTAGAGCCCGACCGATATATCGGCCAGCTGATATTATCAGCCGATATTGGCTATCTGCCGATACGTGCATAGCGACACATTTCATTAACAAGTAAAGAAGAGGCATTATGATGTTGCATAGCTTGGCCATCAGAGGACACACCCCAACTTTCCTGTTGGCAGCATATGTTCGAAATGTGATGAACACAACAGCCAGCTGATTTGAGCAGAGTCGGACAGAATGTAAATCCACAACTTTGTCACATTACCTTAGTAAGGACTCATAAATAACTAGAAATAAGAAATGCCAGGGAAATCTTTGTTTTGTCTGCCCAAAAGGAAAAAAAATATCGGCAGATATATCAGATTTTTAAATATCCAATTATTGGTATCAGTTTTAAAAATCCTATATTGGTCGGGCTCTAGAACTGACTCACAAAGTCTGCCTCAGTTTCTTTTGTGTTTCACTTGTACCAGCCAATAGGGAGAGACTGCAGACAGATGAAGCTGTTAGGGTGCTCCGACAGCTTCAGGGGGTTCCCATCCAGTCTCACCTCGTACATGTTGGTCCGAATGTAGTGGCTTGTGTTTCCTTTGCAGAATGTCTCATCTGTTATTGTTGAGATGTTGTTGTTCTGCAGGAGATCAATTCAAGAACACAACCTTGGCTACAACTTCCAGACAGAAAACAAATTTCATTTCTTCTGCAGTTTTTTTTTTTTTTTTTCCCAAAATAAATAACAGATGAACTTACATGCAGATGAACAACGTAAAGAGACTCTGGAAGATGGGGGACGGCTGTCAGTTCATTGTCTCCGAGATAAAGGTATGCCAGTCTCGTGAGTTTCTGCAACAACACAAGGCCACTATTTAACATGCGATGATGATTTCTGCAGGGGTTTAACATTAGGCATTTACTTGCCAACTTACTTTAAAAGCATTTGCCTTTACACCCTGGTTTTTAAGCCTGTTGAAATTGGCATTAAAAGTTACTAGCTTGGATGGCAGCATGGGAAGTTTGGTCAGTCTGTTTTCTGCGAGTTTGAGCTCCTCAAGATTGGGAAGTTTTGAGAAAGATCCGTCTTCTATCTCAGAGATGAGATTCCCAGACAAGTCAATTCTTCTTAAAGTAGCTGAAAAATACAAATAATGGAAGTAAAAACTTAAGAGGAGAAGAATACTTCAAAGGATTTTTAAAATTATTAGTATTGTTTTACCTGTGTCTGCAAAGTCTTCCCTGTGTATTTTTGTGATTTTGTTGAAGCGAGCATAGAGATACGCCGTTTCTTTTGGCAGGGTTGGCACGGCTGACATGTCAGGGGACACGTCCTCGCAGTAAACTGATCCACTCAGACAAACGCACAGTAGACATGTTGGCAAAACTGAAATGATCACACATCTTTTCATCATATGGCATCATTTATATACACTTCTCAAAACAACCCCCCCCCCCCCAAAAAAAAAAACAACCCCAAAAGAAAACAAAGATCCAGCAAAACAAAAATAAATGTGGTGTACACACAGGTCCTTTAATTAGCTGCAACTAAACTAGAAACAGTTGTGTATGCACTTGAAAATGCACTGCACCTAGTTTAGCCGAGGACACTTGATCAGTCCCATTATTACGTAACATGAGCTTTAGCTCCATTCACAAAAATGTGGAAGAATGCCTTTGCAAGTGTTGCATAATCAGCTTTGAAAGAGTTGTGGAAAACTATTTATTTTTTTTAATAAACCTTACCTTCTGCTTTTGGAAGTACTCCACCATCAGTATCTGTGTCTTGCAGGACGCCATAGTCCGACGCACGTACCGTAGCTTTCTGCAAAAAGAAGAAATCATCTCAGTTAGCTCTCACTTTTGTGCATATCGTCCTTGAAGATAGTTTTGAACCTCCCCCCAAAGCTTTCTTACTGCAGGTGTTCTTGCTTCCATGTATTCACCCTTTGCTGCAGAAGACACTATCCATGGGAGCATTACATATGTGAAAATTAAAATCCTTAATGGTATCATTGTGCCTCAGTGGCTGGAGAGAGGAGGACAGAGCTGTCTGCTAGGCTGAGATCTGGGGTACATCTGAGAAGGAAAATTTTCCATCCACTTTTATTAAGCTGCCAGCATACTGCTGAGTAAGAAAAGGAAACTAGTTTTAACTCAATACACGCTGTGTTTGTGTCACATCGACTGGTCCGGGTCACTCTTTAAGATTGTGTCGCCTTATTTCTGTCCAACAGATGAGCATTTAAAGCTCGATGGGGATGTAAGTGATGAAAACTTTGGATCATAAGAAAACCATTGAGTAAACCCAATGCATGAAACAGTTAAATTCTGTGGGTGTCACTCCTGTTACTGGAGGAACAGCTTGGTACTGGATGAAGGTATTAAATTTGAAAAACTGATTGATTTACCAGCAGTGAAGCAGAGAGAGCAAACTGTTGAGTATCTTTTTACTTGGATTGTTTTCCATCCATTTGGACTGCTTCTTTATCAGAAGTGACTCTCTTTCTGAATAACTGCTGTGGTTGAGGTTATTGCCCTGTGCCTGTCCACTAAAACGTGTCCCGATCAGTTCTATTGATTGTTTGATCACAACAGCTTGCCTTAACTACAGCCTCGACCTTTCACATAGTTTGATAGTTACTGTTCCATCATTTACTAACTTAACTTCCAATAGATCAGACTCTCCAAATTATTCTAAGCATACATCAGATCAGTCCGTTGCAGAAGCTGCTCCTAAAACCACGAACAGCCAGGTTCTTCAAATCAGAACCTAATCTCCCCCCCAAAAAAACATTACTTCTTTGTTTTTTAAATAAATCTAAGTTTAAATCTAAGTTTATAATGATTAGAAAAAATGGGATTAATTAATTCCTTTTTTTTCATTGAGGAAAGATTTGTAAATTTTAATTTGACACGTAAAATGAGATTGCTGTAGACACACACACACATGCACACAAGTACGCAATGGAGTCAAAGGAGCTTGCAAAGAAAAGCGTCTGGACTTCTTTAAGTTGCTTGAAGACGTTTCACCTCTCATCCGAGAAGCTTCTTCAGTTCTAAGGTCAAATGGTGGAGAGTCCCAGATATAAACCTAGTGGGAGTATCCCCCCACAGAGGGACAAAAGGACCCCCTGATGATCCTCTAATCGCCTGAGCCAAGGTGTGAAACTGGGTGTGGGTCCCAATCAGCCAGGGTTTCGGGTGAGCTCTTTGTGAAACCTGCCCCCACCTTATCATGCGAATTCCTGAGATCAGATGGCCCAGGATGTGAGTGGGCGTTAAAGCGTCTGGGAAGGGATCTCAAAACTGGATTATAGATGGCAGAGAGTTGGTGTCGTAAACCCCCGCCTCTGTTCAAAGATGGTCGCTCACAGTGGACATAGATGGCTTCTTTCACTCCATCTGTCCTCTCTGTCCAAAATGTGAACATTGGCATCCTCGAAAGAGTGTCCTTTATCCTTAAGATGCAGATGGACTGCTGAGTCTTGTCCTGTGGAGGTGGCTCTTGTGTGTTGTGCCATGCGCTTGTGACCCACACCCAGTTTCACACCTTGGCTCAGGCGATTAGAGGATCATCAGGGGGTCCTTTTGTCCCTCTGTGGGGGGATACTCCCACTAGGTTTATATCTGGGACTCTCCACCATTTGACCTTAGAACTGAAGAAGCTTCTTGGATGAGAGGTGAAATGTCTTCAAGTAACTTAAAGAAGTCCAGACACTTTTCTTTGCAAGCTCCTTTGACTACGATGACCTGGATGACTGAGAACCTTCACAGACATACGCAATGGAGTGACAGGCCTTAGTACAGTAGTTGTAGAACATCAGTTATTAGGAAAAAAATAGGTTACAGATGTAATTATCTGCATAATGATTTAATAGAAAAAGTATTATTAAACTTGCAATTTTAAGTGCACTTATGCAACACAGCCTGACCTCAGTTTCTACTGGAGTTGGGACAAAAATGACCTTCACAGACAAAAATGATCTTATATGACTTAAGAAGGGTGGAGATGTGCACACAGAGCCATTGAAGGTGGAGTGTGAGCAAATAGAGGAAACAGGAGTGCAACTAAGAATAATAAATACTATTTTGCTGTGAAAATAACAAGACTGGTTATACTGTTGTGTTGACATTTATTTTATTAACACAAATAATTGCTTTAAAAATATGTAGAAGATGAATAATTTTTTACATATATAGAAAATTTACATTTATATTTATATCTGCTGCTATTAACCTCAGTCGTCAGTTTGGTTATCAGGTTCAAGCAAGCGCCTGCACTCATTAAAATCTTGACTTGCTCAAGTGCCCTTGAGAAAAACGCTGACCTTGACCTTTGATCATCAATATGGAAAGTATTATTTTGTTTCTTTGTTTTAATTTAAACCCACATGACCCTCCAATTATCTGATCATACATGTCTATAGTCTTGTAACCCATTTAAATGGTAAAGAGGGCTCCTCTCGTGCGGATAATGTTTATTTTGGCTGAGTACTAAATTACAAAATCATCCAGTTGGCGACCTTCACATATACATTTAGCTTGTATACATATATAAGCTGAATGCATATATATGTCAATACTGTAGCAATGTAATGCAAGAGTATCAAACAGTTGAATTAATTCTGAATAAAGAAATACGCTTGGATCCATTGATTGCCTTTACCGTGTGAGCAGAGGCTGCATTACGTAAGGCAGATGTGCGGTGAGAAAAGAGGAAACAGAAGTGCCTGTGTAGCGGAAGTGGTACTGCCCTGAACGATACGCTAAGTGAGACGGAGGACGGAGGCTGAATCGTCCACAGAGCGAGCGAGAAGAAGAAAAAACAGTAGGATTAAAAGTCACCGCAATCGTAAGTGCAATAACCTCGAATGTATGAATATCGCATGCTAACACTAGGTTTTCATTGGTAGCTCGTTGTTCGAAAGCCTGTTCTATCGGGTTCGTTCGAATCCCACTGAGAAGCGAAACATAACGGCTAGCTCGGTTGGTGAAAGGCTAAGCTAGCGTTAGCTGCTAGCTTGCTAGCGGACGGTGAGATTCCGTGACACTTTGTTCTGACAGGCTCGGCAGCCAGGGCGGGCCCTGCTACAGCTACTTAAAACGAAATCAAAGCGAAAGTAATACGGTGCAGTTCAGTATTCCCCTGCGTAATAACTACTTAAAATGACAAATATTAACTGCCATCACCCAAACCGCGTATTTTTACATAAAAATTCGCGGTTGCTTTCGCTGGCCTAGCCGTGACTGTTAGCGGCGATGCTAGCGAACTGTTAGCTACTACATTCGTTTTTTCCTACTTTGGTTATCGCGCATACGATAGTTCAGCGGCTATAAATATGAACGAAAAATATGAAGCCTTCTAATATGTACTGTCGTATTTGTTAAGCCAGTTTAGCCGCGATTTAGAAAATCTACTATCCTCGCTAGCCTTGCTAGCAACATTGTGGGAGGGCATTAAACATGACCCGGGAAGGCTTCCGCTGGTACAGCAAGTGTCGGTCGAAAGAACGTCAAGCGAGCCAAAAAGGCAGCAGAGCAAATAATTATACACGGTTTGACATATTTAGATATGCGAAGAGTTCTGATTCAACTCGTGAATATGAAATTGGGTTGGGACGGTAAGGGCGAAGCAGGGTTAGCTAATAACTTGGCTAGCGGCTAACCATAGCAAGAGATGAGTGTGGTTGACCCACTTGCCAAAGAGCCCAGTTCACAAAGCATGCCCTGTGAATTGTCATTGAATTAAGTGTTTTGATCTGTTAAGACCAGGTGTGCCACGGCAAGGTGAAGCAAGTTCGTGTGAACTAAGATAACACACACACCACACAGGTGTGAATGGCTAATGTGCCTGAAACATTCTTTCTTGTGTTTTGGTGAATTGCAACTGTAGCTGTTTCTAATATTGTCTTGTTTTTCCCAGTCTAGAAAATGGATAAGAGCGACCTGGTACAGAAGGCCAAGCTTGCTGAGCAGGCTGAGCGCTATGATGACATGGCTTCAGCCATGAAGGCAGTGACAGAGCAAGACTCTGAGCTGTCAAATGAGGAGCGCAACCTTCTCTCTGTTGCCTACAAGAATGTTGTAGGAGCGCGCCGCTCATCCTGGCGCGTTATCTCCAGCATTGAGCAGAAGACTGAGGGCAATGACAAAAAACAGGAGATGGCACGTGAATACCGGGAGAAGATAGAAGCTGAGCTGCAAGAAATCTGCAACGATGTGCTTGTAAGGATTTCTCATTATTCAGTCCCAATTTAGATTCTAGTGAAAGTGGTATGTGTTATTGTGAATCTGAACAAACCTTTACTACTGTTTTCAGGAGCTACTGGACAAATTTCTCATTGCCAAAGCATCTAATCCTGAAAGCAAGGTGTTCTATCTGAAAATGAAAGGCGACTATTATAGATACCTGTCTGAGGTTGCGTCTGGGGATAATAAGAAGAGTAAGTGAAAACACAGTTTACATCATAACTTTGTTTTACTGCAGTGTCCTTTTAAAGAGTGGTGAAAGAAACTTTAAGTTAATCAATAATGTGTAATCTGAAATCCCTAAATGTGTTGATTTAAAAGAGCAGAATCATGATGCTTTTTATCTGATTTTATCTAATTTTTTTTAAATTATTGTTCTGTCAACAGCTTTGTTTTCAGCAACAGCTGATTGCACTTTTTAGCAATAAAAAACCCTCCAAATAAGAAACCTATGTAGTTGAACCTGGCATACTTGAAGACAAGCTGAAAAGGCCAGAAAATTTTGTGGCCGGTCTACAGTAAATGCAGAGATGGCACCATGTGGAATAAGAAAATTTTGCCATATTAATGAATGTTACAATACAGTTTGAGATTATTCATAGTCTAATTTTTCTGCTTTTAAGTTGCTGAAAATTGGTTCATTATAGTTTTATTTTTTTCCTTATGCTTTCACAGCTACAGTGGATAATTCCCAGAAGGCGTACCAGGAAGCTTTTGACATTAGCAAGAGTGAGATGCAGCCAACACACCCCATTAGGCTTGGCCTGGCCCTCAACTTCTCAGTCTTCTATTATGAAATCCTAAACAACCCGGACAAGGCCTGTACCCTGGCTAAAACAGTATGTACTCTGGCTTACATGCATAGCTTTAAAATGTCTTGGAGCTTTTTAACAAATGAATAGAGGGGGGGGGGAGAGAATGGGGAGGAAAAAAAACCTAAAACATATATTTTTTGGTGCATATTAAATTTATTACTTATGGTGTAAATCACAACAAATGACTCTTTTCAGGCATTTGATGAAGCCATTGCTGAACTTGACACTTTGAACGAGGATTCCTACAAAGACAGTACCCTGATCATGCAACTACTAAGGGACAACCTGACTGTGAGTTTTAAGTTACACTGTTTGGTTTCAGATTGATGCGGGCATATCTGTCACAAGGCACTCTAACATTTGTCCTCTGTGTTTCCAGCTGTGGACATCAGAAAACACGGCAGATGAGGGAGAGACCGAAGGAGGGGAAAACTAATGGAATTGCACTGTTAATCCACCTACACTCTTTATCTTAAACACAGACAGCTTATATACATCCCCCTCCACTCCATCAGCCCCTCCCACTTCTGTATGACAAGCAGCCTGAATTGCTTCCGACCAACTAGTTTACCCCTCTCAGTTCACTGTGAGGTGACAGGGTAATTTTTTCAGTTGTTAGCAGATTCAGTCACTCTGTGGAAAATGTGTTGATTAGCAAGTTCACATTGCTGTTTTTTTTTGTTTGTTTTTTTTTGTTTTGTTTTTGGTTCTTTGTCAGCTTTGTGCAAGTCTGCGTGTGGCAAGCGTGAGTGGATGTGAGAGGTTGTGCGTATGGTCTGTGGTGGGGAGGGGGGGTATTGTGAAATCTAATCGTCCTTCCAAAGTCCTTGGTCCCCTGCTAGTTGTGCATTTTTCATCCCCCCACCCATTTTTTTTTTGTTACGTTTATTATTTGTAATTCCTTGTGATATTTACAGGTTTTATTGTATGGTAATTAAACTGGCAGTTGATTTCCACCAAACACTGTGATGGTAGGCATTCCATTTGCTTCACAAGCCCCCCTCCCAAAAAACATTTTTTGTTCAAATTCTCAGACATACAATCCTGTATTCAACTAACTGCAATTCTGCTGTGGGCTCATACAGAAAGGAGGCAGGCTGTATTGTGACACTGACATTTTGGTGTAATGCTCCTTGATCATGTTCACAAAATTCACAGTTTAAGCTCTGAGGGACCCCTTAAATTTGTCATGTTCAATTTAAGACATTCCACATTATTAGGCTTTTTGGAAAGGCAGTGCTTTTTTTCTCATTTTGAACTAGGTATGGGTTGTCATTGTAGTTTTACTCACTGTTCAGGTGCTGCTTGACCTCAGTACAATGGAAATTGTATGTGCGTAAATGTGGTTCCATGTATTTTGCAAGATTGACTATCATCTGTATGTAAAACCTACAGTAACCTTTTATTGATGTTAATTGAAAATGTCTTACCACACTGTATCAACCCTGCTTGCAAAATATTCCTCTTAAAGCGGTTGTTTTCTCCAAAAAATGTTTTTGTGCCTGGCTTTCTCTTGCAGCTTTTTTTTTTCTTTCTTTTTTTTTCTCCCCCATTTAGACAGCAGCATCTGCTTGTTGATGAAATCTCACAGAGAAAGAGTTAAACCATTTATTAAAAGGAAATAGTTAAATATTTATTAGTCTTCGCCCAGGTTCATCAATCTGCTGTTTAAAGGTAGCTGATGTTAACGGATTATCTAAAATCAGGTCTCCTTAAAAGTGTTTAGAAGGCCATTTCATGACTTTTGAAAAGAAACTCAGTGTCACAATACCATGTTATCACCACTACATTCCACACTCTTGTAGTTGAAGACACCATTCCACATTATAGCTGACAGTCTGTTTACTCTGGCAGTGCTCCAATGAATTGATATAATTTGTTGGGGGAAAAAAAAATTCATGTCAGTTTATTATTATGCTTGATGAAAATGCAGTTAGTGAATGTGGAACGAAGCCTGTCTGTATATCAGGTATCTACTTGCTTTGTTTTTACTGACAAGTCTTAATGGCTAAAATTTGCTTCTGTAACAGTCTTATTACCCAGTGCACACACGTGGTTGTGAAAATTTAGATTAGCTATTAAAAAAAACGAGAAAAAAAGCAGTGACGAAATGGAGATAAACAATGGTTGGTGTAATTCTAGCTTTGTGTTTATGTATCTTAAAACCATTCTAGTTTCACTCTACATGTAAGAAATAGGAACGTGTCAAAACCATCCAGTGAAATAAAGTTTCGTTTAAGATAACAGGCAAATTACGTCTTCATTTTTGTTCACCAGGTATATTTAAAAATTAAAACGTAAAACAAAAGCCTAAAAAAACTCTGAAATTGAGCAAAAAGGTACGTGAGGGTTATAATTGCCCTCTTGTCTACAAGCAAAGGGCAAGCTAAATTAGATTAGCGCTTGATATGCTAATGAGAACTACTTTGCATCGCGGAGAGTGACGTGTATTTAATGTTTGTACCCCTCACAGCTTAATTGAAACTATTGCGCGGAGAGGAGGTGCAGGTGTTCAACGGCGCTAATTAAATCAAAACAAGCTCCCGCCCATGTGGAAAGTGTACCGACGAGCTGCTTAACGGGAAATCTCCAGTACGACGCAGTAGCTTGAAATGTAAGTTTATTTAGTCGAAGTCACACGGTTCCTCATCTTAGCTAACTTTGATGAATAGTTCAGAAACAAAGGACACAGGCGTCAGCTAATTTTACCGCTTAGCTTTGAATCATGTGCTACGTGTTAAAGTTTCATCACTTAAATGTTTACCATGTTAGGAATTTTTAGATTCCAAATTGTCCACATTCCACAGCTTTCTGTCTTGAAGTTGTCTTTGTATTAACTTTCGGATACACTTCAATATTTTTATGTTGGAGTACTTTATCCACTCAGACACGGAGTTAACAATTTACGTGCTTAATGCAAACCTAATTCAGTCAGGCCTGGAGCAGGGCCTGCAGATTCTTTCGTGTTTTGATTCACGTGTTGACATTTTGGAAGCTGTGTAGTTTGTGACACTGTTAAACTGCATCATGCAGATCTGTTTTTGTTATTCCTCCCACCCCTGTTTGAAATAAATGGTTTGAACACACGTAGATGACATTGAAAACACATTAAAATTAATTTCTTTGACACTAAATCTCATGGAAATTAGATAAAACACAGTTAAAGGTATTGATTTAATAACATAACACATTTAACATAATTTCTTCTACTTTTGAGTACTAAATAAAAACTTCTCAAACGTGATGTATTAACAAAGAAAACATTTCTGCCAATGCAGATCAGTACAATGAAGTGCATCTAATTTTAGCAGCACATTAGAAATGACTATAACAAGAAAAGAAACAAAACAAAAACAAGTCTAAATCACTCATAACTGTTTTTCTCCAAGCAGCTATTACCCAAAATGAACAGCAGTGGACCAGCATATCCTCTTGCTTCTCTGTATGTTGGAGACCTGCACCCTGATGTCACAGAGGCAATGCTTTACCAGAAGTTTTCTCCCGCTGGGCCAATCATGTCGATCCGTGTGTGCCGGGACATCATCACCCGCAGATCTCTGGGATATGCCTATGTAAACTTCCAGCAACCTGCTGATGGTACAGTACCAGTGTGGTTGATTTGTGACCTTTTGCTGCTCAGTGAATGCTATAAAATGTTAAGACTTGTTTCAGTCTAATGAGAGCAAACTTTTGAGGTGATTCTAAAGATCACTGTCTTCAGAGCTGAATTTAAAAGTAGGAAGGACACTACACCTTAAAAACGATCAGCAAATTCATGATAGTTGGGGTATTTGTGATGAGAGGTTAGTCTATAAAATGGCAGGAAAATCAAAGAAATGTCAAAAATTTCATAACTTTTCCTGAAAGAAGTCAGGAAAAATATCATGATTGAATAAACTAAATTAAGTAAACGAAATTATTAACCACATTTTAAACCTAAAGTACTGCAGAGTGGAATGAATTTACCACTTAAATTAGAGCATAAGCTTAATTCTCCATAGTGGCACATGCAATGGAAACATAGTGAATATATGCTCCACTTTATTAGGTACATACTCCACTCCTTGTGGCAGGATGGATTTTAATGTTGTTTATTCCGAATTCTGACATTACAATCTGTCGTAGCGGAAGTCAAGGCTCATCAGAGCACGCAGTCTTCTGTTGTCCAGTGTTGGTGAGCCTGTGTGATTTGTAGCCTCAGTTTTCTGCTCTTAGTTGACAGGAGAGGCCCCTAGTTAACATGGTGTTTTCGCCCAGCTGTTGCTAACTGGATGGTTAGAGATGACTGTGTGGGGAAATTCCAGCAGATCACCAGTTACTTAAATCACATTTGTTTCACATTCTGATGCTCAGTTTGAACTTCGGCAGGACATCTTGCCCAAGTCTACATGCCTCCCTGCACTGAGTTTCTGCCATGTGATTGGCTAATTGAATGTTTACCTCAAGGAGCAGTTGAACAGGTGTACCTAACAAGACAGGGGACTGTATACAATATATATTATTATACATTTTTGTAAGTAATTTCTTTTCATTTTTCTGCTTTGTTTTAGCGGAGTGTGCCCTGGATACGATGAACTACGATGTCATCAAAGGTCGGCCAATCAGAATAATGTGGTCTCAACGCGACCCAGGACTCAGGAAATCTGGTGTGGGTAACATCTTTATCAAGAACATGGATGAGTCTATTGACAACAAAGCACTGTATGACACCTTCTCAGCCTTTGGAAATATTTTGTCCTGTAAGGTAAGTGACCTGGGCCGTCTCTCAGAGCTGAAGCAGCTGAAGTTGATGGTTACTGTGACTGACTAGAGTCTTCCTCCAAACACTGAGAGGCTAGAAATGGTAGATTTCAGAATCATGGACTTGTGTAATTTCAAAGTGCAGCACATATCACTTAAGTTATTAAAACCCATTTCCAAATTTTACTCCTCACATTCAGTTTGGTTAAAAGCAATTGTTTACATTGTGTTTGTAACATAGTACAGATGAATTTAGCGGGCACTTTTCAAAAGCTTTGTAATTTGCACCGATTATAATGTTTGTCTTGTAGGTTGTTTGTGATGAAAAAGGATCCAAAGGCTATGGATTTGTTCATTTTGAGACTCAAGAAGCTGCAAACCGGGCCATTGAAACAATGAATGGGATGCTACTGAATGATAGGAAAGTGTGAGTGAACTAAATACTCAATTGTTTACCACTGTTGTTTCCAGTCAGTGGTTAAATGTAGCCTACAAAAATAAGCTCAGGCAAAGATTAGAGCAGAATATGTACAAGGATCAGCCACAACATTAAACCACTGATGCATCAAATTGTCTGCGGTTATGTGCTCCCTTTTTTATTTTCTTTTTTTTTTTTTCTTCATTTTGAGCTCATTTCAGTTTAAGGCTGAAATGAGCTGTTTTACATTATACATGATATAATGTGATCTGACATTTACACGCGCCAATGGATTTAATCAGAACTGTGTGACATCTGTAAAAACAATGACTAATTCACACATTTACAATCCTCTGTGGCTATCCTTTGTGGCTTTTCCGTGACTTTCGGTTCAGCAAAAAAGATTAACATGTACAAAACCAGTGCCTGATGGCCAAATGGCTCTCTGGAGACGAGTTTTACAATTCCAGAGTACATTAAATTTCCTTCATAAAACAGGCCCCAGTAGTTGCTGTAATTATGTGTTGCTCCTAACGTTTTTAAATGTGGGTGTTCACATTACTTGGTGGGGAAAAAGCAAGTCATTTTCAGTAGACGAGGCGATGTGACATTTCACATTGACACCAGACACTTGTTTCTGTGTGCTATGCTACAGATCAAACTTTAACTGTCATCAACTCTTTGTGTTTTTGTGTAGCCTGCAATGGTTGGTGAATTTTATTTATTTATTTATTTTTGGAGGAGGTGTTCTTACCTTTAAACCACTACTGCAATATATAAAAACATTTTTCAGATGATTTAAGCCTGTTTATTTGGATCGAGGTCTTTTTATATGGAGCATTCCTATTCATTCTGATCTAAGGCTCCATGTAAACTGCCAAACACCTGAAGTGGCACTCAGTGGCCCGGAGGACAAACCGGCGTTCCTCAAACTTCCTATGTCTCAGTTCAATTGAGCACTCACAATCTGTGGCAAACATGGCTCCTTCCATGGAAGACACACTCAGGGATAGGTCTCATGATTATGTCCCAATGGGCCAGTTGTTTTGGCAGCATAAAGGTGACATACACAATATTAATCAGATGGTTTTAATGTTGTGGGTGATTTTTAAATATATTTTAACTATTTAAATTGTTAAATACTACTGAAGACTCCACATGTTTTGCAGATGATTTTTCCATGTGTTGTTGTTTTGTTTTTGTTTGCTCAGTCAAAAGGCGGGTAAACGGTTGGGATATGGCATTGTCAGCTCAAAGGCCCGTTTCCTGGGAGAAAAGTGTCAGTTGTATCTTCTTAGGTCAGTGAATAGGTAGGATATCTGTCTAGGTTTGTCTTTATCTGTATTATAAAATTATTTTAGGGCTAAGCAGGTAACAGTATTCATCACAAACGAACAAAGCTGTTTGTTTGCGATGTTCTTGATCTGTCCTAATCATTTGTCTTGTAGCCAAAGATAATTTAACACACTGTAATTAATTTCCTTTTATTTGTTCCTCGAAATGCTGTCTCTCTGGTTAACATTTTAAATGACATCTACAGATTTGTTGGCCACTTTAAGTCACGCAAGGAAAGAGAGGTGGAGTTTGGCAGTAAGGCTATGAAGTTCACCAATGTCTACATCAAGAATTTTGGTGAAGACTTCACTGATGAGAAACTAAAGGAAGTTTTCTCTGCATTTGGTAAGATAAAAATATTGTGAGCTTTTATTTTATTTTTTGTTCCTTTAGTTTATTTTTGATCACTTTGCATCTCGTGGTCTGGTTTTGGTCTCAGGGAGAACTCTCAGTGTACGGGTCATGAAGGATGAGAAGGGTCGTTCAAGAGGATTTGGATTTGTAAACTATGCTCATCATGAAGATGCCCAGAAGGTAGTGTAGACCAAGTTTCTGTGTGCACACAGATCTTACTTCTCCCAACAAAAGATCACATGGATCATAATGCAGTCACTGTACACCTTGAATGAATCCTGTTCAGGAGTGTTTGAGTTAAGTAGGTAGAAAAGGATGGCCTTTTTTTGAATTGGAAAATATAATGTTGGTAAAAAAAAAAGAAAAGTGTAACCTTAAATTCTTTGAGTATCATAGTTTTTGAATTTCTCTTGAAAAGGTACATTGCTTCTGAAATGTATTCACAGCATTTCACTTGATCCACATTTTTGTCATTTTATAGCCTTATTCCCTGTTTTGCAAAAAGTTTAGTTCTTTCAAATTTATTAAAAACAAGAAAAAAATATAAAAAGTACATAAATATTAAGCCTTTGCTCATTACTTTGTTGAAGCACCTTAGGTAGAAATTGCAGCCTCAGGTTTTTCTGAGTATGCTGCAGTCTTGGCACACCTATTTTTGGACAATAAGAACTTTTCAGTGGACGACTGTGGTAACCGGAAGGTTGCCGGTTCGATCCCCCAGCTCTGTCTGTCCTCGTCGTTGTGTCCTTGGGCAAGACACTTTACCCTACCGCCTACTGGTGTTGGCCAGAGGGGCCGATGGCGCGATATGGCAGCCTCGCTTCTGTCAGTCTGCCCCAGGGCAGCTGTGACTACAACTGTGGTTTGCCTCACCAGTGTGTGAATGTGAGCGTGAATGAATAGTGTAATTATAAAGCGCTTTGGGTGCCTAGAAAAGCGCTATATAAATGCAATCCATTTTGGGGTAGTTTCTCCCATTCTTCTTTGCAGAACCATTCAAGCTCCATCATGTTCAATGGAGAGCATCAGTGCACAGTCATTTTCAGAACTCTTCAGAGATGTCAAGTCAAGGACGGTCGCTAAGTAATACTGAAGCCACAGTTACGTTGACTGTAGGCTTGTTGTGGTGCTATTAGAGGATGAACCTTTACCCCAGTCCAAGGTCCAGAGTGCTGTGAAGCAGGTGGTCATCAGAGATCTGGCATCTAGTCTTCTTGTTCCTGTTGTTGAAAACCATCCCCATAGCAGGTGAAGGGCGGTACTTGTTTTTCTCCAGACATGATGCTCGGCATTCAGGCCTGTCTTGGAGGTCTACAGAAAATTCCTTGGACTTCACGGCTTGGCTTGTGGTCTGACACGTGCCTTTCCAAATCATGTCCAGTCAACTGAATTTACTAGGGGTGGACTTAAGTCAAGGTGTAGAAAGATCTGACGGGCGATCATGCCAGGAATTTCACGAAATTTCATGAAAAATGAATCAGTTTTGAAATGGCAAAATATTGAACAAGTGAAGCACTTTGAATACTTTCCAGTTGCGCTTATACTGTACGTAACACTGTATGTTTATGATCCCTATGCTATTTATTTTTTCCCAGGCTGTTAATGAAATGAATGGAAAGGAGATCAATGGGAAAATCCTCTATGTAGGGCGGGCTCAGAAGCGTCTTGAGCGCCAGGGAGAGCTCAAACGCAAGTTTGACCAAATCAAACAGGACCGCATCCAGCGCTATCAGGTGCTGCTGTTGTGCATGAAACTATAATATGAATACTACTTAATGGTTCTTACTGTTGATCATTTTGAATTAATTATTAGGTGATTATAGTGCAATGTTTTTTGAATATTTTAAAGTCTTAGTGGTGCTTGTAATCCATTCATTCATTTTCTCTTGCTTACCTGGGTCTGGGTCATCAGGAGTCAGCTGTGGGGCAGACTCGGTCTCCTCCTTGCATTCCTAAATAGTACATTATCTGATATTAATTTACAGTCTTGATGTTGTCATAGTAAAGTCAAACATTTTCTTGAAAATCATTCCAAATGAAAGTGGAAAAGTTGTCATTTATCCAAACAGTATATGTGGGTGTTCAGCATGAGGCTCAAGTTATGTTGTTTTTTTCCACCATTGTTTTTCAGTATTGAGTATTGGGTGTTTTTATTATTTTGCTGACATTGCCAAATGGTTAGAATCAGAAATGCTCTTTTGTTAGATTGATTTATGTGTGTCATGAACCGGATAGGAGGCAGACCTGTCCATTGGGCCATCCCAACTAGAAAACACAGGCATTGTTTTATAAATAATCAAGTTTGTAATAGCAACAAAATGGAATCTAAAGCAATCTAACCATTTTGGTAGTGCTTTCTCTTAAAGTCAGATGGGAATGTTTAATCTAGATATGAAGGAGTGCTTAACTACATAACTGAATAACTGCAAGCATGATGAAATAGCTTAGCAGCATTTAGCCCACAAAGAAAGAATTTCAGAGCTGATTGGATTTCATGGGTGAGAAGGAAATTCCTTTGAAATGTTTTTAGCCAGATAGGCTTTAACTTGTGACGTTGATCCATTGAGTGTATGGGCATTTTACTGTTGATGGAAAGGCTGAACAAAACATTACTCAAAACTAAAATGGTATTTTGATCATCTTTTAGGTTTGTGTTTTTACATTGTTGAACTTGAGAAGACAGGAACGTAACTCTTTGTAATTCCAGGGGGTGAATCTGTATGTGAAGAACTTGGACGACAGCATCGACGATGAGAGACTTCGGAAGGAGTTTGCTCCTTATGGCACCATCACCAGTGCAAAGGTGAGGTAACAGGATAATGTCCCACTAAAGTAATGAAGTTCTTTGTACACAAATCCATGAATGCCCAAACCTTTTTTCCTTCTGGAAGGTTCCTGTTAAAATCTAATAGCTTTTATGGCGAGGGAATGATTTTTGAACTGGGTAGTGTGTTCACAGTAGCTGCGATGCTCTTCTGTATTAGCAACACAGGTGGGCGTGTTACTGTAATCAGATTACTTTTTCAGGTAACGAGTAAAGTAAGGGATTACTATTGCAAAAAAGGTAATTAGATTACTGGTACTTTCCCATAAGCACGCTGCGTTACTAAAACTGATTTTTTTGTGAGAGTGTCTCATGACAATGACGTAAGCGAGTGCGACATTCATGGCAACAGCTGTGTGCAGATCAACAATGGATCATATATGGAGTGCGGGAGAGAGTATGAGCGTGCAGCGTTTAAAGCGCGGAAGTACTGACCTTACTTTGAGTTTGATTCCGTAAAAAGTGACAAAAACATTAGCGTTCGCTGTTCACTGCGTGGGAAGAAAACTTCTTTTTACAGCGAAAAAACCGTTAACTTCCAAACAAGCACAGAGTGTGCTACCAGTGAATGGGAAATTCACACAGAAACTCGCGGATTCTTCCACTGGCCACCGCGGCACAACTGCACCAGGGCAAACATCCGCCTGCTATACAGGTGAAAATAGAGCAGCAGGATTGATTTTATTTATTTTCTGCTGTGTTTCACTTGCATTTATTTGAAATAGTGAGTGTAAACACAAAAAATATTTTATTTTATGTGCTGGAATGTGCAGAAAATAGATTTAAATCTTAAACAAATTTCTTCCAGTCAGAGAATGTGGCATATAATTTAATGTTTGCTTGATGCATAAAGTCAAAAGATTAAAACTAATAAAACAAGTTTTAAAAAGACTTTTCCATTTGATTACATTTTATGATGGATTTTGCAGAAAAAGTAGAATTGGGCTGAAAGATCTATCGCTTTATTGCCTATTCAGGTTGTAAATCGTGTTTTTAAAAAGTAACTAAGTAATTTTGAAAATAAATAATCAGTAAAGTAACAGGATTACTTCTTTGGGGGAAGTAATTAGTTACTAATTACTTTTTTCAAGTAACTTGACCAACACTGGTTAGCAGTAAGAAAATCTTGTGCCAAAATAATGTTTGTAAAATTATTATTTTCCACAAAGGTGCTTTACAACATTTCAATAATGGATTTATGCAGATTGCTGACATGAATTCATTTCTGATCATCTCGTGAAAGCACTGTGGCTCAGGAGGTAAAGCGGGTTATTCATTAACTTGAGAATTGGTGGTTCGATCCCTAAGTTTTTATAATGATATCAAGTTGTTGACATGTAGATATTCCTAAAGACATATGTGAAAAGGGTGTTCCTGAATGTGAACTGTAAATTGTCTTGTTGAGGAGGGGGGGTTGTTGTCCCCTCCCCATACAGGATGTAAAGCGCTTTGGGGTCCCTAGGGACTAGTAAGGCGCTATATAAATACAGGCCATTTATTGAGTGCCATTAAAGATTCTTTATATAATGTCTCTGGTTTTACCTTTTGTTTTCTTTTGTGCTTTAGTGTTAGGAACCTTAAAGATTTCTGACTGTGAACGTTTTGTTTCCTGTAGGTGATGACAGATGGCTCCCAAAGCAAAGGCTTTGGTTTTGTCTGTTTCTCTTCCCCTGAGGAGGCAACAAAAGCAGTGACTGAAATGAATGGGAGAATTGTTGCAACCAAGCCACTGTATGTGGCTCTGGCTCAGCGGAGAGAGGAGCGTAAAGCAATTCTAACAAATAAGTACATGCAAAGACTTGCTACCTTGAGAACCATGGCCAGCCCGCTAATCGACTCATACCATCAGTCTGGATATTATGTCACATTACCACAGGTAGGGCTCTTTAAACGGTGACATTGGGAACAAAATAGGCCATTTTATTAATGCAGCAAAATGTGTCATCAAAATGTTAGGGGAAAAAAAAAAGAACTGATAAAGTCTGGGCTTTATCAGTTGTTTAAGTCTGGGCAAATTTGCATCAGCTCCCAACGTTCTGACATTTTGAAGTTGCACCAGTGCTAATATTTGCATTATATCTGCAGCCTCCCACGCGCTCCTTTTACAACCACACTGCTGTCAGCAATGTGAGACCAGTCCCTCGCTGGACAGGACAGCCACCAAGACCACAGGGTGAGGGAATATCTGTTACACTTGTGTAGCGGTTTAAAAAAAAATATATATATATACACACACACACACACACACACACACACACACACGTATTGATCTGTAAAAGTTGTAGCGAGGAGTAATTCCTCTAGGATTAATTTTTCAGCTTGACAATGATCCCAGAACACACTGGCAGTGCAGTAAAAGCATACCTGGATAGAAAAACACATGGTGGAACAATACCAGTCAGATTGGCATCCGCAGAGCCCGGACCTCAACATTATTGAAGCAGTGTGGGATCATCTTGACAGGAAAAAGAACAAAGACCAAAAGGCAGCTAATGGTGACTCAAGAGTTTTGCACAGTACTGTATGATATAATTGTTCTCTACATGCTTAGGCCCCTACACCACTCAGCTGGTTTCTGGCTCTGTCCCCCGACGTGGATCGAGCCCCATCGCTACAGTCAGACAGGCTTCCACCCAGGCGCCACGCATCGTAACCTCAACACAAAAGACAAGTGAGCTCCTGATCTATGGCAGCAGACAAGCAGTCTCCTTTTGAAATGTCCCATTCACGTGGATGGTGCTGACTGTGTCTTTAGATGACATTGGAACCCAGACTGTAGGAGGGCGCACTGACATTGCCAATGTGGCCAGAAGCAGCCAGTACAAGTATGCGTCAGCAGTGAGGAACCCTCAGCAGGTTGTTACTGTGCCTGCACCCATGCCTAGACTACAGGTAGTGTTTGCACTGTGATCATTTCTATTTTTAATACTTAGCGAAGATCAAGAAAAATGTGTGAAACCCAGACAGTAAGTTGGAGCACTGAGGGTGCACAATGACTTGCAGTGTAGTTAGTTACTTAGGTTGAGGTTAAATGACAACCTTATTTTAGATTGTTGCTGAATATAGGCTTAGCTTCACTTAACAAATGGGCATTAATAGTCATTGGAAAATGTAAAACGCAGCTAAGGAAAACAACCCTTCTTCTACTTCATTTTGACATGAATTAACCAGTGATATACAAGCTGAAAATGAGAGAAATCTGTGGGATTGTTTTGTTCTGTGAGTGGGTGTGGGTATCTGCGTGGGTGGTGTTTACAGCTATAATATGTTTAAGACACAAAAATTTAGGCGATTAGCATCTGGATGTCTTCAGGTTGTTGCTGCGCCGGTGATGGAGCCACCAGTACACATTCAAGGCCCAGAGCTGCTTACCGCCTCAGTGCTGGCTGCAGCCCCACCAATGGATCAGAAACAGCTCCTTGGTCTGTCATCAGTCAGTTCTGCCTGTTTTGTTTTTTTTCCTGCTATGCAGATTGAAACAGCTTGTGTATATTTGTCTTCATTCCATTGTCTCTGCTGTGACACACAGGGGAGCGACTGTACCCACTGATTCACGCTCTGCATCCAAACCTGGCTGGTAAAATCACTGGGATGTTGCTGGAGATCGACAACTCTGAGCTGCTGCATATGCTGGAGTCGCCCGAGTCCCTGCACGCTAAGGTACATTAATGTTCATGTTTTTCTGTGAGCTGGTCTGCACTCTAGACTGTATATAAAGATGGATGATAAGCCACAACTTCCTTCCCCTGTACAACAGTGAAACCAAAATAGCTCGAAAATAGGTGGTGCTGGTTTGTTCTAGTGACAGCATTTGCACATTGGTGGCGGCAGGATGTCGGAGTCATATCTGTAAACCTTCGGTTTAACGTCTAAACCTCAAGTGGGAGAAGCATTTCTTCCTTTTCTTCTTTTTGACACCCCATGCTGAAACTTTTTTTTAAATACTTTTGAATTCTGTTTGCCCATCACTATCATTATTCCCTTTGAAGTAGTTTGAGCAAAAGGGAAGTCAAGGTCCACCTGTTTACCTCCACGTCTTCATCCTTCCTCATGTTATAGGAAAAAGATTTATTTTAGTTAATGTGCCACACGTGGTCCAGTTTGATCTCAGAATATTCTCTGGCCACTTTATTAGGTACAATTTAGTTGTTAAACAAATATCTAATCAGTCGATTGCAGTCAGTCAGCCTGATGCATATAGGTATCAGAATTTGGTATCAACAATTTGACCATTGTGCCTTATATCAGCAGTTCAGGCTCCTGGTGCTGGTGTAATGGTGTGTGGGACATATCCTTGACAAACCAACTGAGTATTGGTTAAAAAAATGCCTACCTAAGTGACCATAGTGTACATATCTTCTGATGGCTGGTTCCAGCAGATTAATGTGTCATGTCACAAAGCTCAGATTATCTCATATTGGTTTCTTGAACCTGTCAATGAGGCTACTGCTGTCCAGCAACTATTTTACTAGGGGTGGGGGGGGATGACCCAATCTGGTCTTTAAGTGATGACATGATGAATCCTGCTTCCGGACCCAAACTACCCTGCATTTAACATGTTTTAATGTTTTGTATCTTGTTCTATTTAATCTCAAAACCCCCCAAAAACAGTAAGTGATCACTGTCTGTCTCTGTTTTTAATACCGCTATTCATTTTAAAGCTCAGTTTTTAAAAGCTTACAATGTAACTACAGCTCAGCCCATGCAGCAGTATATTAATGACTAACCTCGTATTGTGGATGGATTATCTCAGTTGTTCTCCTGGCTGAAGTTTGGTCCATTTACAGCATCCTGCCATGTGATTGCATTTGTCCCGAACCATCGGGAACCCTCACGTTAACTTTTACAGAGTAGAAAAAAGTTAGCGTTCATCCTCCAGCTTCAATGTTTATAATATGCTAACATAGCTGTGTCGCTAGCGATCATGTAGCACATCATTATATACCAGCTAGCCAAATTTCAGTAACCCTACAAACGTCACTGCTGTTTACTTTCCTGTCTTCATTTATGTCGGAAATGATAGCAGAGCTGTACGTTTTAATTAGTCTCAGAAGTCTCTCAGTCAGAACATGGTATATTATATTCAGACGGAAACTAGCAAGCTAACTTCCTGCTAACTTCTAACTCTGTTAAATTTAATAAATTCTGTTTTCATGGATGCCTGGATGTTAAACGTAATTGTTACATCTGGTAGATCAGCAACACTGATCATTTTATTACATACGAAAGAATTTAGACAGTTTTTTTAACTCTTAGTGATGCCACAGTGATCATTTGAGTTTGGGACCTGCAGCGGAGTTTGGGCCCAGACACGACTCATGACGTCATACTTAAAGACTGGATAGCTTTCTCAGTCATCTGGAATGTCACTACATTCCCAGTTGGGTAAATTAGATAGGTCTGAGTCTGATTTGTAATTTTCTCCACTTTTTGGATTTTTATGTATTTATTGGAGAGAAGGTCGATGCTTGGTAAGCCTTAGAGTTACGGTAAATTGATTTTTATCGCATAAAGAAGACTGCCAAGCAAGATATTTTTGCATTTCCAGTCTTTGTCCTAGTATAACACTTCTCTGGCTGTTGCCTGCCATTTATGAAAGAGGTCTGTTGTTTCAGTTTGTTTTTTTTGTTTTTTTTCTCCCCTTTTTTTAAAAATCTTTTCACTGTTTGGGTCAGGTGGATGAGGCGATTGCAGTCTTGCAGGCTCACCAGGCGAAGGAACATTCTCCTAAGCAGTGAAGAGGCCTTAAAGGTCAGCAACGACGTCTTTTGTTTCTCTGCACCATTATATTTATAATAGGGCTGCCACAAACGATTATTTTGATAGTCGAATAGTCACCGATTATTTTTACGATTAGCCGACTAATCAGATCATGCATCCATTGGATGTAAAACGTACAGCTTATTGCACCAGCA